GCGGTCCAGGGACCCATGCACCGTCGTCGTCACCGTAAGGTCAGCGAGAATGGCACTGGGGGTGTCACTATAAACCCGATCGAGCCTGGATGTATGGCGCGCAGTGGCCTCAGCATTCCAACCGAGCCGTGTCGGTTCGTACTGGATGTACTCAAGCCAGCGCTCACAACCACGATTCAACAGATCAGGGTGCGGCCTATCACCCTCGCTCCAATGCTGACCGTCCTCCGTCATCCTCCCCTCGCCCCACAACGTAGAGTTCCAATCTCCCAGCACAATATTGAGAGACTGCGCACCACTAGGCAGCCGAGCAGTGAGACTGCGAAGGGCACGCTCGTATATCGGCAACCCTTGGTTAGTATTAGGCATGTGACAATTGGCAATCGTCATGCAACCTTCCCCTCCCCTCAATTCCGTGATCAAAATCCTCCCGTCCACCGCGGCCACATGGTTGATATCTTCAAACTGCTGCCTCAAACGGTCGCTAATCACTGTGACAACTCCACCCGCGGTCGTCGAGTGGAGAAAGCTCGCGCCGATCTCAACGCGTCGCAACCGCTGAAGTAACACAACCACGTCCCCCTCATGACCATGGCATTCCTGGAAACAAACCACATCATACTTCGCACGAAGTTCCAAAGCATATGCAAACTTCCTTGCACGCGTTGAATTGCCCCCACGAACCCTCCCAAAGAGACCGCTGGTGTTCCACGTGCAGACCGTCGCAGGGAAGGGGGGGCTGTAAGCGACGCCGCGAGCTTCAGGGAAAACCTCGGGGGCCCCATTTGGGTCTGCCATTGGAAATAGCCTAATGGCTTTATTCGTATACCTAACCAGGCTGCAAACTTCAGTTTCAACTTCCCCCCGAGAGGACGGGGGTGAGTCGGTTGAACACCCGGCGGAAGCTGTTGAAACAATCAAAGGGTTCTCTGGCAATCTAACCTGCTGGACACGACGCATCAAGCGGCTAGCCTCGTCGCCCTCACCTTCGTGAAGGCTCCCAATCAAGGCTCGCCCAACTGCACCCGCTCGTGCCTCGCGCACTTCGCAGTCCGTGCTGCGCCGTGCCCAATCAAAAGGGGGCCGCCATCGCCGCCCTGACCGCAGGCAAGATCGCCTGGAGGCCCAGGCTCAAGAAAGCGGCCTCGGCTATCTCATGCTCCACCTCATCGCCGTTCAGCTTCAGCTGCGCCATCGTCAACGGGCACTCTGGCTTGGTTAAGACGAAGACCGCGCCGCCAAAGCCGTTCGAGACCACCTCGTAGCGCGTGCCAATGGCCTCAGTGATGGCCTTCCGCACTTTCCCCATGACGAGGAAGAGCCCCCCCCCCCCCCTCCCTGCTGATTGATGTTACGCTTGACACGAAGTTGATACTGCAGCCCGTCCGCCAGAGGGCTCGGGAAGGCTACAGGACCAGGAGCTTTGAATGCAGTGAAGAAGTCCGAGCACTTCGTGGCTGTCGGGAATTCGTAGATCGCTTTATTCGACATGTCAAAGGCCTTAATAGTAATGGATGGCCACTCTCTTTGTGGCGCACAAAGATCTCGTACCTGTTCAGCAGCCCGACGAAGTGTACGCCCCATCAGTGGAGACTCGAACCCCACCAGGATCAAGCGGCAGGCGCCCTCCTGCTCGCGCGTCGACACCAAGTGCGGGTTGTTGCTAGCGGGCCCACCACCAGGCTTGTTCGTCGCTATCATCTTCAACTTCTTCTCGATGTCCTCCACTTTCTGCTGGGCGTCAGACGGGGTGGCCGCAATCTTCTCGTCAACGGCTGCCGCCACTGCTGTAGCGATGGCAGCCGTGGATCCTTGCTCAACCACCAGGAGACGTTGTTGTACCTGCGCCAAGTTCTGGTCGTGGATCTGAAGAGCTGCGCGAAACTCCTGCACCTCCTGCGCCATCGACTGTTCGATGCGCTCGATATTGGTGTTCATGCCCCTTACCTCCGTCATGAGGTCCTTGACCCAGACAGGCGGCAATTCTTTCTGCATGTCATAGCTGGAGCCACGGTGCCCACGGCTATCCTCGTTTGTGCTATCGCCAGAGCGTCCGCCTCGGCTCCGACTCCACGACCTGTCCGAACTGGCTGACATCGAACGTGAGTGGGAGCTTGCACGGTGGCGCCTCGCGTAGCGGCTCCGGCTACGCTGCTCACGCTCCTCCCTCGCAGCCTTGGCAGCCGCCTTCCTCGCCCTCGGGCTCATCACGGCGGAGCTGCTGCGACGCAGCAAAATGCTGTGTCATGTGAATCTGTGAGTGCACTAGAACACCACGTGCTTTGGCGCACGACTGGAAAAGATTGCGAGGCTTATCCTCGGGACGCTCGGGCCAACCCCTTGAGCCAAAATGGCTTCGCTCAGCCCGAACGCCTGGAGACAAACTGAGAGACACAGATCGGCGGCACCCGAAAACAGACGGGATCTCAAAACCCTGGCCTTGCTAGGCTGGGTCCCTTCACCAACCGCCAGAAACCGGGAACCGAGAAGTTCAACCGCCAGGGACCCAGGATATCTCGCAGGGCCCAGCCTGAGCGCCCGATTCGGACGCTTAGAGCGGAGGAAATTCGCTGCACTCTTCTTCCCAAGCCCCACCAAGGAGCGAACGGAATCTGACCAATTTTCAAACACTTGCACATCAATCGACAGGGAAACCGCATGGTACCGATACCGCTGCTCCCCGGACCTCTCCAAAGGTGCGTTCCGACCAGAACTTGGGGGCGACTGCAGCGGTGGCGACGGCCTTCCAGGCACCCCCCCCCGCAAGGGAACAACTGGCGAAGAGTAGCGGTACCGCTGTTTGCGAAATGAACGCCCACGTGTGGAAGTACCGAGAGCCCCGCCCCGCGCCCCGCATTTCAATGTTGGCCACCAAACACGCCGAAGGGGAGTGCGAAGCGTTGCGAAATAAACGCCCACTTATGCTGGACTGCCCAGCCCTCCCCGTCAACCTTGAAATACGGGGGAAAGGGGGCGTGCTTCGTCGTCTTGTTTTCGATCCCTAAGATGGGCGTTTTTTTCGCAAACGGCGGTATCGGTAGCTCTTCCTCCTCCGAACGGCCCCGCCGGCACTGCGGCACAGCCGCCGCGCGCCGTGCAGAGCAGGGGCGTCCGGGGGCCGGCTTCGGCCGTGGCAGGAGGCTCCTGCGGGCAGTGCCCCCTTCGACCTCCACGGGCTCGGCCTCTCTGAAGGGGCCCAAGGAGGCACAAATAAATACACACAAATAAAATGGTTCCCCATATTTTCCAATATCTTCTGGGTTTTCGTTTTCCCGCCCAATTCCCATATTTTCCCATATTTTCTTGGGGATCGACGATTCATTGTGTCTGTGTGGTTTTTTCTCTCCTGACTCTCCCCCGCAGCTGCCCTCCAGGAGCGTATCCACCGCGGCCCCGGCCGACCGTGCGAGTAGCCAGAGGGGGAGGAGCGAGCGGCCGCCAGGAGAGGAGCGAGAAGCGAGGAGGAGCGCGAAGAGGGGAGCACGGAGTGAAGAGAGAGGGGGAGAGGAGCGCGGAGCGAGGAGCAACGGGCGAAGCGCGTGGAGCCATGAGGGAGGCTGCAGAAGAGGCTGGCGCACGAACCTCCCGATGGCCTCGGTGCGCGTGTGACATAATTGCGCGCCCATCTGGGGCAATGTTTGGGACGTCGTGGGCCTTCCTGGGGTCTCCTGTTGTCCTTTCGCCCTCTTGGAAGGCTCTGGGGTTTCTTGCCTCTTTGGGTGGAATAAAGTGGGGTGCGGCAGACATGTACGAGCACCAGGAGGACAACTGCACTACCTGCGTGTCAAGGTTCCCTCCAAGGGGTCATCATGGAGTCTGTCGGGGCCGTCTCGGCGGCGTCTTGGGGCATCTCCCAAACTCTGTGGGGCCGCCAACCGGCCGAAGCCCTCCGAGGCCTCCACAAGGCCGTCCGGGGACGCTTCCGAAGACCTCCCGCGGGGGCCAAAAAAACATCAATCGGGGCACTGGCCCTTTTCGCACGCACGGGCGCTGGCATGGTCAGAGAGGTTGCGTCGGGCTCCAGCTTCGCCTCCCGCATCTCGCCGAACAGTGAAAGGGCCCATTGCCACTGCTCACCCATTTCGCACGCGCACATCCCAGCGTTGTAGCTGACTAGTGTGAACCCGTGGGAAATCCACGGCTAGCAGATGAAGGTGTCGGTCCCGAGCGCGCATGTGTCGCCGACGCCTGCGGGTTTGCTTCGGGACTTTTTTGGGGACAATCGAGGGCTCTGCAAGGAAGGTCCCCCCTGTCACCCCCAATCGGCCGCCTTGGGCAGCGCCGTGGCCGTCTTGCGCGCGTCGGGGGCCGTGCTGGGAGCCTGTCGTATCGTGTACGTGTGTGTGTGTGTGTGTGTGTGTGTGTGTGTGTGTGTGTGTGTGTGTGTGTGTGTGTGTGTGTGTGTGTGTGTGTGTGTGTGTGTGTGTGTGTGTGTGTGTGTGTGTGTGTGTGTGTGTGCGTGCGTGCGTGCGTGCGTGCGTGCGTGCGTGCGTGCGTGCGTGCGTGCGTGCGTGCGTGCGTGCGTGTGTGTGTGTGTGTGTGTGTGTGTGTGTGTGTGTGTGTGTGTGTGTGTGGGCTTCGTTGGGCTGTCTTGAGATTGCTCAGGGGCCTTCTTGGACCGCCTAGGGGCGCGCTCGGGGGCGTCCTGGGATGGGCGGGCGTTTTTGGGAGTGCCTGCGGATCTTGTTGGGCCTGTGTTCTTGGAGACACCCGGGGAACCACACCGTTATCGGGCCCTGGTATGGGGTCAGGGGCTTTCTTGGAGGCAACTGGGGGTCCACACGCGGGAAGAGGTGCTGGGGCTTGAGGCTCTCTTGGGAACTTTGTGGCCTTGGGCAGCACTGGGGCCGTCGTGCGCGCGTCGGGGGCCGTGCTCGGAGCCTCTGGGGCTGTACTGGGGATCGTATCGTGTACGTGGGGTGTGTCAAGGCATCGTTGGGATGTCTTGGGGCTGCTCAGGGGCTTTTTTGGACCGCCTTGGGGCGCGCTCGGGGGCGTCCTGGGATGGGCGGGCGTTTTTGGGAGTGCCTGCGGATCTTGTTGGGCCTGCGTTCTTGGAGACACCTGGGGAACCACACCGTTGTCGGGCCCTGGTTTGGGGTCAGGGGCTTTCTTGGAGGCAACTGGGGGTCCACACGCGGGGAGAGGTGCTGGGGCTTGAGGCTGTCTTGGGGGCTCTGTGGCCTTGGGCACCGCTGGGGCCATCGTGCGCGCGTCGGGGGCCGTGCTCGGAACCTCTGGGACTGTTTTGGGGGTAGTATCGTGTATGTGGGGTGTGTGAGGGCATCGTTGGGTTGCCTTGGGGCTGCTCAGGGGCCTTCTGGGGCCGCCTTGGGGCGTGCTCGAGGGCGTCCTGGGATGGGCGGGCGTGTGTTGGGAATGCATGGGGATCTTGTTGGGCCGTTGTTTTGGAGGCGATCGGGGAACCACACCGTTGTCGGGCCATGGCTTGGGGTCAGGGGCTTTATTGGATGCTCTTGGGGCCTTATTGACGCGGGGAGAGGTGCCAGGGCTTGAGGCTCTCTTGGGAGCTCTGTGGGATGGGAGGCCCTGGGTCATCTCGGAATTTTCTGGGGCGTGCTTTGGGGTCTGGGGCTTTCTTGGGGGCTTCTGGGGTTGGAGAATCGGCGAGAGGGTGCCGTGGATGGAGGCGCTCTCCTGGGGAGCTCCTGGGCAACTATCGGGGTCTCTTGGGAGACTCTGGGCATCTCGGAATGGTCCTTCGTGAGTTCGTGGCCCAAGTGGTGGCTGCGGGAAGCCTGCGGTATAGACTCCCTGCGGCCCCTCTTGGAGCTTTCCTGAGGGTCTCTCTGGAGCCTCGTGGGGCCGTCTTGGGCCATTTCGGGGTTTTCTTGGGTTCCCTCTGGAGCCGCGTAGGGCCGTCTTGCGCCATTCAGGGGCTCTCTTGGGCCGTCTCGTGGGCCCCGCGGGCTCCCTGCGGCCTATTTTGGTTGGAACCCTTTTGGGGGTCGTTCTGGAGCCTCGAGGGGCCAGTTTGGGCCATTTCGGAAGTATCTTGGGCCGTCTCGGGGGCCCCGCGGGCCGTCCTGGGGCCATGGTCGGGGTCTCCGGCCGTCTTGGAGCTTGCTGTGGGGCCTCTTCGGCAGCTCCTGGGGCCTTCTTGGGGGTTGTCTTGGGGGCCACCGGAGGCTCAATGAGGGTGTCGTGGGCCTCTCAAGGGCAATCTTGGGGCCTTCTTGGGCCGTCTCGGGGCTCTTGGCGGGGTCTCTTGGACCGTCTCTTTGGGAGCGATCGGAGGCTTCCTGGAATGTCTCGGGCGCGCGGGAAACAACAAAAAAGAAAACGCGAACATCAGAGAAAAGACATTGGACATCGTCCATTTACTCCCGTTGAGGCCTGCCCATGGGTCCTCTCTGAACCTTCGAGAGCGACCTGGGCGTTGCTGGGGCCGCCGAGAATGCAGGCTCAGGCCGCCCAAGGTGGCGCTTGGGCCGTCTTGGAACTTTCTCGGGCCGTCTTGGAGATCATCGGAGCGCTCATGAGCAGCCCCAGACCGCTGGAGGCGCGGCTGGGGGCAGTTTGCGCGGTGGGGGGCCGCGCACTTCTGGCCATTTTCGCACGCGCTTCGCCCAGCATTGTGATACAGACTAGTGCGAACCCGTGGGTCAAATCCACGGTTTGCTGAACCTGGGGCTCGCAAGCCGTGGGTTTCATCAACAGAGTCCGGCGTCGAAGCCGGATGGCTCGCGGTGTCCGCGGAGGTGGCGGGAGGGGGGGAACGAACGAGCAGGTGGAGGATCTCGGAGCGGCTGGGTGCGCTGCGGCAGCGACTTCGTGGAGGAAGGGATGCGGTGGGTCCCTGTCGTGACGAGCTGCGCCGTTATTCTCGACGCCGCGTGGAACGCTCAACCCTTCGCGCTCTGAAGCTTCGACGTCGCGATATGGTTCAACGTCGGCCGATTCTGGGCAAGTGTCGGCGTTGGGTCTTTGCTGCTGGCGCTGAGATCGCCGCCGTGTCGACGCGACGCGAGTCTACGCACCCCTCCCCGCTGCCTGGGGAAGAGGGCGAAGAACCTTGTTCCCAGTTTGCATCTCAAGCAGCGGAAAGGAAAAACGGCGCGAAAAAGGTGGAGGGATACGGGGGCGCGCGAGCGCTCCGCGAGGCGCGGAAATACGCTCCCTCTGCCTCGGGCGCGGCCCGATCGACCTTCTATGCGACGGGGGTTCTCGTGGCGACCTCCCCGCTCTGGAGGCCCGCCTCCGGCTGCGTGCGTACGTCTTGCACTGGGGCGAGGAGGACGCCGCGGGAGAGCGCTGGTCAGCTGGGGTTGGGAGGGTGGGGCCGTTCCTGAACCGCGTCCCGTCGGGTTGTGAACGGGGCGCTGACATCGGCCATGACGTTCTTGCCGTGGCGCACGCTCCACACGTAGCCCTGCATCGCCTCCCCGACATTCGGGGCCTCTTGGGGGGCGGTCGCGAGGAGGGAACGGGGCAAAAAAGGAATGGTATGGAGAAGCAAGGAGGCAGGGGAATGGTGAT